ATTTTATTTAAGTTGAAACATAGTTGGAACACTCATTGAACCTTTATTACTTAATCTAGAGCTTGAAATGTCCCCCGTACAAAGCATGACTACGAACTCTTATCCTCGTTTTCCCATCCCATAATCTACAGTTGTTTGAAGTATTTTGAATAATTTTTAAATATTTGTTTTCCCAGATGACGGGTGAGTCAAGGACAGTACCAGCAGGAAATGGTAATGCATGTTGTTGATATTTTCTTTATAATGTTCTCATAATGTTCTCGTAATGATCTCTCAGTTTATTCATTCAAGTTTAAAGAGGAACGAGAGCTTGCATGAGAGTTTTCTCAACTCTCATGCGCTGGTCAAACGAGAACAAGAGTTACATCAGAGTTGGTGAGAGTTGAGAAGCGAGAGTTTGCATGAGAGTTTTCTCAACTCTAATGCAACTCTTGTTCTCGTTTGACCAGGGCATGAGAGTTGAGAAAACTCTCATGCAAACTCTCGCTTCTCAACTCTCATCAATGCTGATGTAACTCTTGTTCTCGCGAGAATTTGCATGAGAGTTTTCTCAACCCTCACGTCCCGGTCAAACGAGAACGAAAATTGCATCAGAGATCGACTTTCATCAAAATTTGAACCAGCTCAAACGTGAGCGAGACTAACATCAACGCTCGTTTAACCGTGGTGTTTTCGACAAATTAAAATTGATCAATCACATTTAGTTAACATTTATACCAAAAGTGGTAAAGTCAGTAATGACTAATGGTCATTGTCGGAACATAAAAGCAGTCATTACAGGACTCCAAGTGCTGCGTTATCAAATCATTGTTTATATTCTCTATGGTTCCTGTAGTGCCGCTACAGTGAACAAACTAACAACATTGTCACTCCTTGATGACAATATTGCTATATGGCCTGTTAGGAACGCACTTTGTTGACAAGATCTGAGGTTTTTACTCATCAAATTTTTCTTTGTTACAGAGCAATCTTCAAATCCATTCACCGCAACTGTTCGTAGCAACTTTCATATCGAGGTACATATATAAGGCTTGAAAATTGTTGTGTTGAATTTGGTTGTGTTTTGCAGTTTCCCACAGTGCACCACGGGCACCGTGGGTAAAGACTGGTTTGCACTAAGTTTCTGTGATCAGAGTAGGAATTTTGCACAGATAAGAAATGTTTGAGGGAACTGAATCAGTGTTTAACAACGAATCAGTTTCCTCAAACATTTCTTACAAATCCTTCAAAACTTAGAATTTACCGATGCAAAATTCCTACTGTGATCACAGAAACTTTGATAGTGTAAACTAGCGTTAACTTATGTGTGTACATGGATTGGTGACTGATTCATCCAACAATTTTCAAAGAACTTTTTGTACTGTTTCTTTCACAAATATTTTAAAGCACAGTATAGAGGTTGAAAATGTTTTTCTTCTTTCTGGAAACATGGGATTAGGGCGCAAAATTTTCTTCAAAAGATTACAATATAGGGAACTGTCTTTTTCACTCTACATGGATCATGTTAATTAAGATTTGTTGTCGTATGCAGAGCCTGGAATAACGTTCAAAATTTGTCCGGAAAAATATCCGACCAAAATGAAATTTAATCGGAAACTTTTAAAATTTAGTCGGACATTTTTTCGATTCCATTTTGATTTCATGCCTTCGTTGGGTAAATTAAGCCAATGCATGTATAAATAATACTTCATGCCAAACACTAGCCAGTATTTACATTTAATTTTAATGTTCTTTGCGGGAGGATTGGATGCAGTTTGTTGTTAACCCAGTCTTTCAAGAAGGTTGATTGCTATTTTCTGTTCGGGCAAAATGCCTGACCAATTTAGCATTTGGTCGGAAAAACTGGTTGGAAAATGTCCGATTTCCTCCGTTATTTCAGGCTCTGGAATGAAGCAATATGTCTTTGAGACTGATAATGGATGCAAGATAAACCCTGAAGTAAACATAATTGCAGTCTTACAGGATTAAAAACAAATTTCCAAACTGTTTCTGTTTTCTTTGTTACAGCATTTAGCTTCTTTCCCCCTGTCACCAGGCGATAAAGTTATTTCTGCTAAAGAACGTTTACAGAAGGCTAAGGTATGTCAACAGTTTCACATTTTTGACTTCGGCATATAAAACTAAACAATACTAAATTCACTTTTGTTTATACTGATTGTCTCTCTATAACTTCCAGACTGTTCTCCTAAAGCAGGGGCGAAGTATATATATTTTTTTTTGGGGGGGGGTAGGTTGCCAAAATGTGACCACCTTTTGTAGCTGAAAATCTCAGTTGTTTAAACTTTGTTGTCATAAATAGACCTTTCCCCTTTATGAGTGAAATTTTGATCTAGATATGCCGGGACAAAATTTTCATCACAGCTTGAAAGAGCATCACAAAATTAGTAATATTCCGAAGTTTCGTTGCGAAATGTTGTAAAATGCGGATAATATAGCCTTGCGAAGTTTGCCGTTTTTTAGTCATTTTGCATTAAAAACGGGAAATTGATAATCAGTTTGATCATCTGATTATCAATTTCCCGTTTGTAATGCAAAATGACTGAAAAACGGCAAACTTCTGAAGGCTATATTATCCGCATTTTACAACATTTCGCAACGAAACTTTGGAATATTACTAATTTTGTGATGCTCTTTCAAACTGTAATGAAATTTTTGTCCAGACTTGTCTAGATCAAAATTTCACTCAAAAGGGGAAAGGTCTATTGTATGAAATATTTAGCTTAATAATCTACCAATGCTTTCAAGGTTGAAAAATTATTGATACAAGCTTGTTGAGGCCCGTTTCCAATAGACAACTTGCATGTTAGACAAATTTTTGATCTAGCCGATCTAGGCACAAAAAAAGTAAATTCCTGTTAAGAACTTATTAAAATTAGTAAACTTGCAAAATTTGGTTGCAAAATGTTGTAAAGCATGGAAAATATAGCTTTGCAA